CCCCCACCCCCATCAGTACACGGCAGCAAAAAAATTTCATTTATTAAAATCCTTACCTCTCTTGACATCTTTGGACCTGAAAGTATTGTCTGAAGTTTGGAAGTGCTCTGTAAATCCACCAACGGGAATTCTTTCTTCGTATCTACGTGACAAAACCGTGTCAAGTTGCTCCAGGTTTGTGCACCAAAATGCAGACATCATGAAATTGATCGGATCGAGTGCGCCCTCATTCATATCCTTGTCGAAAACTTTTGGAACATTAAATAAAGAGTACTGTATATTAAAACTTTTTTAAAACCCTGTATTAATGGCTTTTGGTTTATTTAAGCAAGTCCTTCGTTTTTCAATTGCAATTAGAATTAGGAAAATTCCCTTGTGTGATTTACTTGACATTTGTTGATGCTTTTAAATAGGTCTAAGCAATTCACTGTTGTAGGACCCTAATTAAGCATTTGAGGGTTTTGCAACTCTACCGCAGTACAGATCTTTAAGGGCTTCGTAGTAAAACGTCTGTAAATCAGCGACAAAAGGTCTCATTGTGAATGTTGATGGCTTATTTTATTCTTTCAAATAAGCAATGAGTGTTGTTATCGGGAGCTTTTACTTACTTGTAAGTAATGTAGAAATATTGTGCTCAATATTCCAATCAGTAGCTTTTTTGTCGTAAATTATATTTGAAAATTGGGATGAAATGCATGCACTTTAGTAACACACCCATCGACTAATGTATAATGTAGTCCTACCCGCATATTACAAAGTCTGAAGTTTGATTTCCGTAAAAATTGATACACGTTATCGCCGACAGCCTTCAGCGTCTCTGATTGGTTATTTGAATCGGGGAGCCTTGCCGAGATTGCGTCAACTACGCAGCGTAACGGTTGCAGCGAAGACGCTAGCGCGAGGGTAGCGATTTTAGGGAGAAGTGGTAAGAAACGTCTTACCTGTGTCTTTCTTGATTCCTTTTCCGATTCCTTGCAGACTCACTTTATCCACTTTTTTATCTTTAATTGAAATCGTTAATTCTTTATCGTCATTTATATATCCATGACGTAATAATAATCGTGCCAGTTCATTTCTTAATTTTCCTTTTTTAAGTTCATCCATAAATGTGTTGATGGTGTCAGTCCTTGCAAAACTTAGCCACAGTTCAACGCAGCCTTTTCCGATCTCTAATGGCGTTGCTCCTTTCTCTAGTATCAGTTCACAGAGATCTTCCAAGAAGTTTGCATTTACCATTCGTGTAATAATTTCATCATTCATGTTGAAAAATAATTTCAATGCGATTTCTGTGTTTCAAACAAGAATCACAAATAATAAAGTTAGGTTTGACACAATCTATTATAAAACCTGCAGAAATGCTCTCTTTACAAATAAACAATGATATGAAACAGATGTATATATATATGTATATATTATATATATATATATATACATCTGTTTCATATCATTGTTTATTTGTAAAGAGCATTTCTGCAGAGATCTCGTCTTGTCGTTTGCTGATAAGAAGAGGGCGTATCATTGATCTCTGTTATTTGCCATGAATTAAGGACTAGTGCTCTCTAATACGCATGCTCATGGGTATAAATGATTAGGCGCTTTAATCGAATTTGCCTTAATGGTGGTTATATATATATGTATGTATTTATATGTGTATAGGCCCTATGTATATATATAATATCTATATATATGTATATATTATATATAATATATATATATATGTATATATTAACATGTACATATAAACATAATGTATTTACATAAACATTTCAAACCGACTAGTGCTGTCTAATATGCATGCCCATGAGTATGAAATATTAGGTGCTTTAATCGGATTTGCCTTAATGGCCTGGTTGGTTAAGACGTCTGTATAGACACTGTCTCTTATACACATCTAGATGTGTATAAGAGACAGGTTGCAATATATAATGTATAATTTAATAGGCTTATTATATATATGTTAATATATATATATATATGTATATATATATATGTACTGTATATATAAACATGATATATTTACATAAACATTTCGAACCGACTAGCTGAATCATAATGAGTGAGACAAGGAGATGAATCATTTTCGGTTCAGTGCTGTCAATGTCATCGTTTCCTCCCACCCTCATGGAAACGTATATTAAATACCGACTCACTTTCATATTGGCTAACCAATTCAGCGTTTTGTCCGTGTAGTATAATTGTATTGCTGTCTGCGATGACGATGGTCGATGAACTACCAACTGAAATCTGAAATTGGTTCAAAGGTTGATCAAGGACCGTCGATCGGCAACGATGATGGAACACACAGCTGCCGTCGTCCACTGGGGTTACGTCTGTTGACTGCATGCTCTCATACGATTGAAATGTTTCAATAGCTGAAGTTTTGCGACGTGGTATTTGGTAGCGGTGCGATGAAGAGGCACTGCTGGTAGAAAGACTTGGTAACGACATTCTAGAATGTCTATACCTAGGAGATGATGTTATACCGACGGACGACGTAGAATGCAATGGTAGTCGCTTGGATTTTCCCTTTCTAGGTTCTGAAATAAGGGTTTTAATGACCGTTAGTTAATATTGGTTTACTAAGCAAGCCCAACCCAACTAACATTTGACGTTACCATGTGTTCATATAACGTTCAATGAACGTAAAATTGTAGAACCATGTTAATACTTAATATTTGATGGCCTAAGATGTGATAATAACCGTTATTAAGAACTATCATTGAGCCATTACCCTCTTCTCTTTCTTTGTTCATGAACATCTCTGCAAATTCTATTTTCCCTTCATCTGGAATGCTATATTTTTTGACTGAAAGATATAACATACTGATTTAGACAGTCGCAATTTTCGTTACCAAATAATTAATTATACCGTAAAAACTCGAACAAAAGCCCAATTGGCTTAATCTCGAGATGAAGCCCATCTCGAATTGAAGCCCCTCTTTAGTTTGCAAAATTAGCCTCGAAATGAAGCCCATTGGTAGTGCAGTGCATACATTGGATACATGAAATAAAAAAATAAATAAATTAAAAACAAGCTTGGATTATACAGTAGTTTAGGTGATTTAATACCAGTTAAATCCACTCCATGATAGAAATTGATGTTACACTGGCCGTATTTATTGTTTTATAGGATAAATTCACAACATTTACAGCATTCATTTTGAAAAGAAGCCCCACTATTTACTTTGCAAAAGTAGCCTCGAAAAGAAGCCCAGCTTGAAAAGAAGCCCATCTCGAAAAGAAGCCCATCCAAAGTTGGCAATAAAAAGATGCCGAGGGCTTCAATTCGAGGTTTTACGTTATGCTTTTTTACTTATTGATTATTTCACATAAAAATTAATTGTGTTAAAATCCCAACGCCCGTGTACTTGTTTTTATTGCCAAAAAGGCCTACCCTACCCATCATTGCTTTAAAAATCTGTCAAAATACCTACAAAATTTCTCGCACGCAACATCAAATTCGATTCGGTCGTCAAATATAGGTCTGCTCGTCCGGTTAAGCGATTCCGTCATAAACACTGGGAAATAAAGAACACGACACTATATTATACTCAATACAGAAATTAAGAAAATCAAATAGGCCTACGTGTTTATTCCTTTTCTATTGAAAATCTTTCATTTTTCAAAGCTCTGGCCACAAGAAAGTTCACCGAAAGAGATCTTGCTGTAGGAGAACCCTACTATTCTCCTGCTACGCCAAGATTGGTCCACAACCAAGGATTAATCCGCATCATTTATGCAAAAAGTATGCGTATGGTAACAATATGCAACCCATAGGTGCTTTAAAAATATATATCAATAATAAATTAAAGTCTTATCTATAGGCCTATGTTTTACTCGTGTTTTACGTATACTCCTTTCTTGATCAGGCATTAAATTATCGACTTCTTTTCAGAGCAGCGCATCAGCCAGGGCGCATTGCGCATATTAATGTACCGTACTTGGCTCCCACTGAGGTGGCCAGACCGATTTCATGAAAGAGACATCAATTTTTGACCAGTCCCCGTACTTTTCCCGACAGTAGGTCTATAATGACTATAAAACATGCATGTGTATGGAGAACATGTGGGGGTATAAGTTACTCACCGTCGTCAGCTTCTTTGTCTGGTGATGGCAAATAGAATTTAGACTTTTTCATTTCTCTTTCTGGAAGTTTTATCTAATTGACATAAAGTAAGATATTATTCATGGCATGACATGAGAGGAATTCTCTTACACGAGAGATATTATTATTACCACTATCATCATCATCGTCATCATCATCTTATCATCATCATCATCATCATCATCATAATCATCAACATCATCATAATCATCAACATCATCGTCGTCGCCATCATCGACATCATTATAATATCATTACATCGTCGTCGTTATCATCGTCGTCATCATCATCATCACCACCACCATCAGTAGTAGTAGTAGTGGTGGTGGTGGTGGTGATGGTATTGGTACGAAAATGGCAGTGGTGTATAAGTGGTAGTGGCACACAGCGGCAGAATTAGTAGCATTAATTATACACATTTTGTTCGAAATAGTTTACCTGCTGAGGAGGCTTCCATTTAGACGCTAAGCTTACTTTCTTGGCCATGCCACAGTCAGTTAGTGTGGGTACTGTTGAAATTGTGCTCCCTTGATCTTCGATGCAATAATCTCTCTAAGATCTCTTAGTACGCCTATGTGCCATGATGCATAAAACAGACAACATCACCTACTTGAAGTGAATTACGTATACAGTGCTATATAACTCACTCTCGTTATACAACGGCAAAAACAAATTTATTATTACTACTTTAAAACCTTCCTTGGACTACACCACTAACACTACTACGAATACCGTATTAAATATGATTGATTAATAATAATAATAATAATAATAATAATTATTATTATTATTATTATTATTATTATTATTATATATTAATTTTAATTCTAATAATAACAATACCATAATGTTGGTGGCAGAGCAGCACCCGCAGTAGTAGCAGTGGCAGTAGTACTATAGTAGCAACGGTAGTGGTAATTAATAGAAGTATTAGACATGAAAAAACAAAAATAAGCATTTTGGTATCTAGCAGTACGGTACTACCGTAAGTACATTATTCATAACAAGCTAATTCCACAAAATATTGACTTACTCAGATTTGCGCATGTGTTTTAGTAGGCGTGTCTTGTTTACTAGTAGACTAGTGCAAGTTATGATTATAGTATATTCATGGACGACAACACAACTCTTTATATGACAGTAGGCACATTATATGCCTTATAGCACATCCAACCACTATTGAACTGTGAATGAATATACACAAGTTGTGTAAGCCCTGCGTTCTTCTATTTATTTTAAAGTATACGCTATAACCATGGAAATATTATTAAAAGCGCTATACTTACAGAATATTATGCCGGTTGTAGTTCAGGCCTTGTATCTTCTTTAGCTGTCGTTCAATGGCATACTACACTTCCTTTTATTATCCTTATCCGGCCTTTGTTAGCATCACGGGTTCAATAACAGGCACTGGTGCGATTGGATAACTCATGATCAACTGCCCTTGGGTGCTGACTTATAAGAACTGACAATAATGATCTGGTGGAACCACAGTAATATTCGCACGTATTTGTAACATTTATAAGTACATGCTTGAAGATGTGTAGGTTCTTGCACATAGTCAAAGTATAACTTTAAAAGGCTCATTTGTAAAATTCAAGATTTTGTGCAATGTTGGTTCAAGGTTCATGTGCAAAGTGCTCCTCCTCTTCCTCAAACGTTATGGTTCAATTGCGGAAATTTTGAGGATGTATTTTATGAAAAGTAGCTTGTGAACACTTTTGTATGCCAGCTATAAAAGGGTATATTTAGCTCAAGGAGACATATTTTTTAGTCAATGAAATAAACATAGACCTATACAAGAGCTATAGACCTAATAAGGTCACAGCACATTATTAAATATTTCCAGGACGTTTTCGGCCATAGGGGGAGCAGGTTTTCGTAGTATAGCATGGATTATATTTTATAGACAAGACTGTTTCAACAACCTACTAATGAACACTGACCAATGGAAATAAGTAAAATTAGTTCAGTTGAGGTACAATGTTGATTGTATAGTATGCAAATTTACAGTTCAGAGGGAGCCTGGGAGGGCGCAAACTTTTCTGGAGGCTTTATATCTTATTGCCAAACTTGTTTGCTTTAGTGAAAAAGGCGCACAGTTTCCACTCTTTTGACGATTTTTCAACACAATCAAGTTATCCATATTTTATATTTATGATTGCAACTTACATTCACAAGCAGAGGATTTTCCACAAATGATTCTTCGTCCTAATAATCTAGTGGATTGTATTGTTACACAATAATCATTTTAACTTACTTTCTGCTGACGAACAACATTAATGATTACAAAAGGGAACTTCATCTATTCTGTATATTTATTAGTTTAGTGACCAAACACATCTTGGTTATTTGAAACATTTACACCATACAATAAAAGTTACATAACTGTTCAATGGCGGGTCCAAGGGTGCGGCAAAAGGGTCACTTTCCCCTCGTCCCTCCCAACAGCAGCCAAAATAACTAAGCATGTGTTATATACATTCTAATACTGTTAATTGTAAATGTCTATACTATTCTATCTAGGGCCTATACTATAATTATAAAATTAAACATGATAAATGATAAACTTACCCTAAATCCTGAATCTTAAAAAATTACCTACAGATGAAGTGTATGTACTTTAGTAGGCTATAACTTTTAACTTTACAAGATCTGTAAATCACATCATGTAGTATCACGAAAAAATCCTGAATCCATTTTGGATTAATAAAAAAAATCGTACATCATGAACAGAGATGGGGGTTCTTATGAACTCTCAACAATTTACAACGAACTATTAAACACAACAGGAGCAGGCAGGGCCCTGACCAACACCAGCGTATTACGTCATCGGACTGATGATGTCATGACCAGACTGAAGTAACACCGCAGTTAAAAAAGATCGCCGATTGTGATCGAAACGTCAAGGTAAATGCCGATGTTATTTCGAAATGAAGGATTAACGACACTACATTATAAGAACCAGACGAAATGTTTCGATGAAGTGTAGAGTACTGTAGTATAACTTTTAACGACACATTTTTAGTAGTCCTAACAAATGAGGGGTAAGTGGCGGCAATTTTATAGATATTGATCCTGTATCAAAGTGTCGTACGACATTTTATTCTTATACATGTAAATTATTAATCATTAGAATTAATAAAAAATCAATAAAGTGGACTCTTTAAATTAATTAATGCAAGTCCAGCAATGGAAAAATATTATGATTTGAAACCAGATATTTTTTTAAAAGAAGTAATTGTCTGTAAGCTTTTAAAGCTCTCCATCTTGCCTCAATCAGAGTCACTGGTATCCTCCCTCATAGGCCTATGTGACATCAGTTAAAATGTGCTGTGTGGCATCCTCATGTAAAAATGTTACCGGCTGCAGCAGTTACATTTTTTATTTGCTTCACATTCACATCCAACAGGTAGGCCTACACTCGCAATTTAGATGATGGAATAATGATTTATAAACTAAGTGCCTTTTATGAGCTGTATTTTAATCATGATAAAAATCCCATGCAGTGACAGAATTTTAACCCCGGATGCTGGGGTTGAAAAGCAAGCATCTTAACCACCAAGCTACAGTTCCATTCAAAATCACAGATTCTTTACCAGGAAGATAAACTAGCAGAGTTTGATGAACTTCGGTAAATCATTCTTGTCAATGCCATTCGGAACAAGATCAAACGATATTCTAAAAGGAAAAATAAAGAATAGTATCATTACAATACTTATGATCATTGTCATCATTACCAAGAGCAATGCCATATATCATTATAATCATATATAATTCGCGTCATTGCTGTTGATGATGCTATCACAATGAACAAGAGCAACATCATTATAATTGTTATCATCATCGTTGTCGATGGCATGGTGATCTATCATCAATAAGAGAAAACGCGAATGGAGCTGCACTAACAAATTCACTCTTTGTTGTCTCTTTTATTATGTACCACATACCTGAGTCGCAAATGCAACCAGGAAAATTAAATCTTAACTTAAGATCATTATTGTAACCATAACCAAATGTTTGGTCATAAAATTGGATACACGTGGATACATCTGATACCTTTCCATAAGTACTGTATCAAGGACAACTAAATGTTCTACCATCGTTAGTGTTTTGTTGTACGGCATTGCCTACCACATTGGTTTTTTAATACCTTACCTTACATCCGTGATCTTTTGAAGATCTTTGCAGACGGTTATCAAATCTTGGAAGTCTTCCTTTCTAAGTTTGATGATTACAAGGTTGAGTTCTTTCAAAGCTTTCAATTTCGGAAGATTATCAATAAAATGCCTGAATATCTGGTTTGGTATCTCTTTTATTTCTTTCACATTCTTCCCCGAGACATGAAGATATTCCAGATTTGGCAATTCCGGAATTACTGTTGCTATGTGATAAAGAAGTGTCCCTGAGAAAGTGCTGTCAGCTAAATGGAGTCGTTTCATTTTGTTCATCTGTTTTATTTCTTCGAAAAATGGTTCATATCCATTAGAATCTACATTGTTCGATGTCATGTTAAGATTCTCAAGTTGAGGCAATTTTCCCATTTTAGGTGCGAGTGCTTTAAAAACATCATTTGTGATTTCGTTCAAGCGTATATCAAGGACCCTTAGGTTTGGTGTATTGTCAAATGCGTCAATTGTAGCACACAGTGTTTTTGATGAGAGATTACATTTCTCAACCCAAATCTCTTCGATTTCCAAGAGCCGTCTTGCTTTTAAATGATCAAGCACACTCACAAATCCATCAGACACATTATTTCCAGATAATGTAAGGATCTTCAGTTTCGTCATCCCACCGATACATTTAGAAAATATTTCCAGGTCACCTGGTCCAAAGTTGTTACTATTCAAACAAAGACTCTCTAGGGTCTTCACTCGATGTAGCAGATTAACAAATGAATCAAAATCTGTTCCTTTGATTTGAATACCTGAAATTGTTAAGGATTTCATATTTGCATTCATTCCATCAAACACAATTCCCAAATGAATTTCTTCTGCTTGCCATTCCTTCAGAGTTTTGTACAATGGATAGATCCCATACATTTGCTTTACCGGAATCTGACTTAGGAATGATCCTTTTGGAATTTTGGCCTTAAAGGTGTTTGCAAACTCCTCATTTTCAGGTGAAATATCTGTCATTGATTTTGTGTAGAAGTGACGAGACGATGGAATTTTATCCATAAGTGCACGAACCTGGGTGTTGTCATCTACTCCCAGACGTAACAGCTCTATGTGATTTATACTATTTGTGTATTTCAAGAAAAATGCAAGAGACATCGCAGTGTAGTTTGATATGCCTGTAAATCTTATGCGGCCCTCTGGGAAAAAGGTTGTCATCTGCTCAAAAAGAATCCCCTCCTTGTCAGCCTCAAAATTGCATCCAATGCAAAGTTCTAAAAATTGTTGCATCTCTTTTATCTCTTCGATCGGCAAATCACCTTTGTTGAACCCTTCCCAGGTCTCTTGAGGATATTGATTGTATATATTACCAAGTCTCTCAAGAACAAGCTTTGCTGCTTCATTGCTCTCTGCACAAGTAAACTTCAGCATTAAATGCATATCAAGTGCATTGCGTACTGATGACACTTTGGTCAAATGATTCATGAATTTTGTACTTGATTTCTTTTTTTCGAGTAAACTAGCCAAGTAAATGGCTGCACATTTTTCTTGGGCTGATTTGTGGAAGAACTGCACCTCTTCTGTAGGCTCAAATGGGTTGTCTGAACGTTCTTTATCTCCATTTAGTGAGTGCATAATGCCAATTACACAGGCATCTTCAATAGCTTTTTGCTGCAATTTATCTAGCTTATGTTTTCTAAAAATTAGATCGCCATTAGTTTCAAGGCTACATAAACCAATTTCACCAATTTTAGACTTGACTTTTTGTAGATTCAGATTATTGCGAGGCTTTTTAATCCTCATCTGATCTCTCTCCTCGTACTTCTTTTCAAGAAATTGAAAAAGTTGCGAATACAATTTGCTTGGTGTTCGTGGTAAAACTGATGATTTGTAGTTCTCAAACTCCCAGAGATAACACATAATTGCTGTCATTATAGGAATTTCTGCAATGCCCTCCACAAAGTTTAAATCCCGGATGTACTTCATCAGTTTATCACCTGATTCTGGGCAATTGCTGAAATACCTGTCAACATACTGTTTTACATTTTCTCTTGTAAAGCCTTTAAGTTCAAAGTGTTTATAAAATCGGTGAATTCTTTTAAAGTCTTTAACCCGATGTGGCCGTGTTGTCACCACTACATGACAACTTGGAAGGTCGTTGCACCGTAAAATATCAAATAATTTTGATTGGCATCTATCATCGTTTACATTTTCCTTAATCAGCTCATCATATCCATCTAACATGAATACAACCTTTGAAGGTTCATTTTTAACAAATGCCTCTACAGCCTTCATATCTTTCTTGGAAAAACCATGTAAAAGTTGTGAGTGAACAGCACTGAATAAACTCTGGTTAAGGTTTATCTTCCGAATTTCTAAAAGGAACAGTAATTTAAAGTCCTTTATAAAATCCAATATATTATCGCTCTCTTCTGGCTGCCCATTCAGTTTTTTCTGCAAGGATTCCCCCCAATCAAGTGACAGTCGTTGCAAAATTGTTGTTTTTCCTGTTCCTGCAATCCCTCGAATTAAAATACGATATTGATTATCCCCTACACTCTCAGCTGGATCAAACATCTTATGAAACTCGGGAAATGGAAATTCTGCTCCGTAGTTTTCCTTCTCGAAAATAATGTTTAAGTTGATAAAGATATCTTTCAATTTCCTAATCCCCTTGGATGTATCCCATGGCAAAGATTGCATGACGTTACAGAATCGGCAGTATCTATCGGATAGCGTTTTAGCAGCATGATCTATGATAGGAGAGTAACCTGGAAAACATAAGCAAACAAAATACTTGTATTAAGTCATTCAACAATTTATAATAATTTATTTTGTAAATAATAATATAATGGCTATCGGGGGTCACGAGTCTCCTTCATATCGCAGAAGTCTACCGCACCACCGCCAGCACAGCAAAATCTTTTGAAATCTTCCACAAGTTATTATATATGATAATATGATAATCGGTGACATCTAAACATATTAATTGTTTATCAAACAAGATGTTTACTTAAATCGGGGGATGGAAAAAAGTGTTGGAACTGTTTGAGCAAAACAAATGTTCTTTTTTTCCAAACCTTCTACCAAAGTATTTCTAAACTCTACATACCTACATGACCCTTAAGGAACGTCTTAACCAGAGAAGCAGCATTGTTACATCCTACTTCTTCCAAACTTTTCATAAACACGTTCAAATCTGGTCGTTCATTTTTGAGAAAGGACCTTTTCTCCAGGTGCATAAACAATTTCCATGGTTTATTGAATCCTTCGGAATGATACACAGATGCTAACCGGTGACAATCGTCATCCTCCAATTTATTTCCTACATCAACCAGCATTTGTTTATATGGTGAGATTAAATTTATAGCCTTAGGACTACAAGGTGATTGCGTTGGTAAGATCTTCCGAAGATCCCGTTGATCCAGCAAGTTTAGCAGTTCATACAGCAGATCAAGCTTATTAACTGTAATGTCTTCTTTATCAATTAACTTAGCAAAGATGTCTAAAATCCCTTCATTACTATTTGGTGGGGAGATGTCAGATAGAATAAACCGAAGTTTTTCCTCGTCTTTAACAAAATAGTTTTTATTCAGCTTGAATATCAAGTCCCTTATTTCGTGTTCATTAGCAGCCATCATGAGGTACAATTATCTACTGAATATTAAGAATCTGATTATGGGAAATAGTCATTCTGAAAAGAAAATTAAGAGAAAAATCTGAAAAGTTTGTAAATAATGCTACTCCAAAGCATAAAGCTTTAAGTGCATGGGTCTTTGTTTTGGAGTTTGCTAATGCCAAGCTTGTGTGATTCATACTTATACTATTACGCTAAGTACCTTATGCTTTCGATTGGACGTAAAGCAGTTAGTCTCATTTACATTATAACTGCAGACACACAAAAGAACTGTTGTTGTATACATATGTAATATTTTATCAATGAAAACGATTATGAATCTTTCTAGATTATATAGAATCAGGTTCATTGTGTTCCCTTTATTTATTGCTACAGAAACCATTAATGGTGTAGCTTGTGGCTGTGGAGCTGGGGATCAGCATGGAGGTTGTAAAAACATGGTCTCAGCAAGACTTTCATCAAACTTGGTCGGCACGTTCTCCCTCAGTCTGTTTTTCCCCCTTGTAATCTCCCCCTTACAATCACAAGACTATAGCTTACTAAAATTAACTCGGTGTGCATAGCATTTGCAGACACAGTGAATTCATTACCAATAATGCATTGTGGAGGCCTACTGTATTATTATATAGGCCTATATAATGTGAAAACAAACATGTGCTACATATCACATTACACTTCTTGGATTATAAATGCACTTAACTTGAATTCAATTCATCCTAAGGGCAAATGCATTTGACTTAAATGCAATTAGATTACAAATGCACTTAACTTGAATTTAATTCATCTGAAGTGCAAATGCATTCGACTTAAGTGTAATTGAATTGCACTTAAGTGTAACTCAATTAGACTTAAGTTGAATGGCATTCAACTTAAGTGAAATTGCAACGTATTACACTTTTCCACTTAAGTGCAAACGAATTCAACTTAAGTCGGCGCTAATGAACTTTCGCACCTAACTTTTAATTCTTAATTTTTTTTACCTCAACGTTCTTCTCACAGTCACAACATATAATTAACAAACATTTTCACCTGACTTAACCTCTCACAAAGTACCTTTTTCAACAAATAAGTACAGCGAATCTGTGTTCGCTAGCACCAATCAGTAAGAAATTGCCAGAACTTTTAATTCTTAATATTTTTACCTCAATGTTCTTCTCAATCACAACATACAGTATAATTAACAAACATGTTCACATGATTTAACCACTCATAAAGTACCTTTTTCAACAAATAAGCCCACAAAAAACAAAATGATTTAAAGAAAACAACAAAAACATAATATCTTAACTACAGTGAAACTATCGCCCGCCGGGTTTCGGGAATAAAAATAATGATTTACTGTATCTTTAAACAAATATATATTTAATATTAATTGGCGGCTGTTGTGTATTCGATGGCCCCTTTGCCGTTCCACACATTTGGCGCGGCGGCCGAAATGATCGAACACCCAAATAAGTACAGCGAATCTGTGTTCGCTAGCACCATTCTACAATCAGTAAGAAATTGCCAGAATGTCTGAGTTTGCAGCGTGAAGCTTTTTGATTAAAAGTTTATGAAAACTTATCTATTTGCCGTTTGTATGTCATTCTTTATATTGTATGGTGCTGTTGTTTGACTGTGTGTCCACATGAAATTCACACGTACAATAATTACTTCAAAAATTAGTAATACACAGATCGAAAAATAGGGCCTAGGCCTAAAGCCAATGATAAACGTCGGTTCGATTAACCTCGAAAACGACAAGAAAGTTCAAAAAGATGGTACTGCAAGATGCCACATTTTGTTGTCGGATATTTCATGGCAAAAGTCCGATTAAAATTATAAGACTGGCCTTTAATGGTTTCAAAAGTTAAGAATTGACTCGGACATTCTGGCAATTTCTAACTTGATTGCAAAAAAGTACAGCTGGTCGTGCTAGCAAGGGCAGAAACTCTGTGTCAACCTATATTTATATTAAAAGGTATCTTTTGTTAAAAAAATGTACTTTATGAGTGGTTGAATCATGTAAAAATGTTTTATAATTACAGTATGTGGGATGCCAGTCAATTCGAGCGGATGTCATTTCGAGCGGACGCCAGTTCGAGCGGATGCATTTAGTGTGAATAACAAGGGCGAATTTATCGTCGCCCTATTCTTGTATTTGTTTTAAATGCAAAAAATGCTCTGATCACTAAGGTTTTGAAAAGTTTTTGGTACTTTTTGATAATTACTCCTTGTTTGAATTACAGTCTTGCCAAATCCGACTACCAAGTTGGCCGCTAACAAGTTAAAACTATAATAGAATTGCGCACTTTTCATTGTGAATTCACGGTTTTTTTTCTGCA